AGTCTGAGCATCAACCAGGGAACTTGTAAGCACCAGAAACTAAGGATGGGACCAAGAAATCTGTTTGCACAAGCCCTCCAGGTGATCCTGACACATAATCAAGTATGAGAACCTCTGCCTAGTGATAGACAAGTCCTGATGCTCAACCTTCATTACAGCTCTCCTTCATAACTGGGAAGCTCTGGGCACACATTTTTACCTTCCCCCAGATACCACAGTAAAGATTCTATCTACCACGGAACCGAGCACATCAACCTCCACCTCAGTTCTGGAGGAAAGGAGAGAACAAAAAAATGACTACGCCAAACATGAGAAGGCAGAGGTCTACCCGTCCAGAATGGCAAACTACTGAGTAAGCAGAGAAAGAACTGTGAAAACTTCCACATTTCTATTTCTGTACTTACCTGATTGGAATCTTGACAAAGCTATTGAGCATCAACTATGAGGAAGAACTGAAAAGTGACCTTTTTGAAATAGACCGATAAAAATTAAGTTGAAAATTGGTTACCTGAATAAAGCTCAGAAAATATGTTCTTGCGGGCTTCAAAAATATGTATAAACAAAATCAATGAAAATGATAGCAATTATGTTTTTTGTCTTTTGATTTTCATTCTATAGTTATGATGTATAATTTTCCTACTAAGAGTCTCATGCAAATGATAAGTAACTCTAACGATGTTTATAAACACTAACAACTCTTACTTTTCTAAAATATGGTAAAATATACATAACAAAACAATTTCTGGTTTTTAATAGGAAAATTGAGAGAATGCTACATAACCTCTTCCTGAAATTAGATAAATATTTGATGAATTCTGGTGACCCATCTTGGGTACAGAATCAGGTATTCTTGGATCCCCAATTGTTTTAAGTCTACAACTCAATTTATGCCAGTGGGATTTTTTTTAAGTAAGAGTTAGAGTTAAGCACTTTTACTAGCTCAGATATCCGAGTCTGGCTGAAATGCACGAAGGCTGACACTTCTCCTGTGCAAGACTCCACAGGCTTGAGTAAATGGGAACCAATCTGTGTTGGCATATATTTGATCTGGAACTGGTTGGTTTGCTCCCAACCCCCACCTGTCTTTGCACGTGGGAGAAACAGCTTTGTATTAGACTATTCAGGCTGAGCACTCCCCCAGACACATATCTGTAAATTGACTCTTCTTACAGATCTACTAGGAACATCTGGAACCAGAGGGCATATCACTATGGCAACCTCCCAAACCAGACCCAAACTAACAGTGCTATCCCTGAGGTCACACTTAGATTCATCCCCAGAAAAAGGTGTGAATAGATATTCTGCAAAACATTATCATTTTATATATAGAAACCACTGAGTGGTTTCTATCTTCATCTTGTGATACAGCAAGAACACAAACCATTTGTGTTCTTTGCCATTTAACTATGGTCACCATATGTCCCTGTGTGCCCTAAACAATCTAGGTTTGTACTTGCCATGTTTGTGTAATTATGAGTGGTACCCCTTTCCCCATGAAAACTGTCCCAGATTAAATAATACATTTATATAGTCTTCTACAGACAGGCCCACTTCAGAAAAGGGACAGGCATGAGGGTGAAATCAGAAGCAAGTTTATTTGGGTGTGTGTGCAGACTTACTGCTCTAAGCTACCTTCCCACATTTCGTTTGGTGATTGTGGAAAATACTTATGAGACTCTTAACAATGATCTTAAAAGTGCAACTAAATAATTCTCCTCTTCAAATGTACAACTAAGGGGCAAAGCAAACAAAGGTCTTTTTCCTTCTGATTTCAAGAGTGCCCAGACCCGCCCAGAGCCCACTCTGGATGAGGCATACCGTTGGGTGTAATAATGTGGTGAATTCATACCTTCGACAAGTGAAGGAGAATCATCACTTACAGGAGTTGTACTTAATCAATGCTTCCCCAAAAATGTTTATCATGTTCTCTACTATGAGAGCCACATCGAGGGAGTTCAGATACTCAAAAGGAAATGCGGCAAACGGCACCAGGTGTCTGATGACTGCAGCTGTCTGCTCAACAAATATTAATGCCAAAGATTGAAAGGGACAGTCCTTAGTTCTCTGAAGCCAACCCTCACATGGGCTTTGTTTGACCCAGAGAGGATTCTTAAATGTTTAAAATATTTGCTAATAGTTTCAAGTATGGACTCGTTCATAAAAATCCCGATTCCCACTTTCTCATGGGAACTCAGAAGCTCTGGCACCACTGGGCTTGCATCCTGTTAATACGATTCCTAACTGGAGCAGAACAGCACCTTAAGAAAGGACATCCACTACCTCGTCCTGCACAGTCGTCACTCAACCCTCTTCCCTCCCGGGCACTGGAATGTGTAACTCCTGATTTATGGTGGAGATAATCCCTAGAGGGACAACATCTGGCCTTTCAAACTGACAAACAGGATTCCATATCTTGAGATCAGCGATTTTCAGTCAGTGAGCCACCAGGAATTTTTTAAATACGCAATACTTGACTATTTTCTCAGGGGCACTGACGTCTTTCCCTTAGATTTACAAGTAAAAACAATGAAAACGGCCCTTGCCAGTGTGGCTCAGTTGGTTCAAGTGTCCTGTAACCAGAAGGTCGCAGGTTTGATTTCTGTTCATGGCACATACCTAGGTCGCAGGAGCAATCCCCAGTTGGGGGGCATACTGGAGACAACCAATCAATGTTTCTTTCTCTCTCTCTCTCTCTCTCGCCCCTCTTCTTCCCTCTCTAAAATCAATAAACTTGTTTTTAAAAATTAAAAAAAATGACAACAGTCAATACAACAATAGCTGTTGGTGTGCATGCCCTGTCTTGAACCATAAATACATAGGTCATATAATAGAGTTGCATCTCACTGGTCACACTGCACAATAATAATGCATCTGGTTGGTCAATTCTTTGTACCAGAAATCCTTATATACAGGTATAGGCACGTGATTTTTTAAAAAATCACTTTGAAACAAAAAGGGTAGGTAATTACTATTATTGTGGGGGAGGGATTTTGTCAAATTATTCCAAATCATACCTATTTTTGTCAAATTGGCAAAAATTATGATAGGTTATGGTGTACTGCAGAATCTTAGTAATTAGTTTATGTGAGCCATGAGATGAAAAAGGTTGAAAATCACTGCTTCACGTACAGACTCAACTGAGAAATGGCAATAAACAGGAAATGTTATGTTTGTTTGTTTGTTTGTTTGAATCAAAAAGCCATACGGCTTCCACTGCTCCTAAAGGGCCAAAAGGAGAAAATGAACCTAAGCATAGTATTATTTGCAAAGTCATAGCACATTCAGCTTCTAACACCTAAATGTATAAAGAGGCCTACCAACTTTAACTGGCCTACCAATAAATCAATGGGGGACCCAACAGCCGCTGTTGAGAATTCAAGCTGTTGAGAATTCAAGGTGCCGTGGCCCCTAAGCAAACTTTGACCATCTGTGAAATTAGCAGCCATGTGTCCTGTTTCAGATCTGAAGAAAATAACTTCTACATAAACCACCAAGAATCATGAAATGCTCAATTCCTTCCTCCTTGCTGACAGAATCGAAGTTGGTGATACTTTTAGAAATGAAGAACACTCCAATTTCACAACACAGGTGAAAGATAAAGTGAGTTTTGAACAAATAAGCATAAAATAAAATTTATTTTAATCATGTTTAAGACCTTAAAACAAATTTTAATAATGTAGCTTACCATAGATATAACAGTGGTCACACAAGTTTAAATTGCTCTCTTCACTTGGGGAGCTCTGTTAAGATATTAAACTAGTTTACAAAGTGATGAAATCTAAGACAGTGAGCTTTTATTTTCTTCAATTCAGCCTCAGGCCTTTTCTAAAAATCCACTAAACAAACACAAAGTCCTTCAATTACAGATACTAGAATGAATATTTTTAAAATTAAAGCCTAATTCATAGGCTATTTTTCTCATCTGACTATTAATTTTCCAGATACCAGAGGAACAGCCACATGGTGCAACTGAGACTTTATTTATTTGTTTATTTATATTTAGACAACATTTTTTCCAAAGGATCTAAAGTACTACACAAACATGAAATAACTACCTCTAGAACAGCATGTCGGTGGCTTTTAGCATTGTAAAAACCCTTCACACATTTTTTTAAACCCTGTTTTCAATGACACTCACTACGGTAAAGTTTTGTTTAAATTTCTCTCACCACTAGATGAAGAACCACACCGGTTTTTAAGGAAGTGAAAATGCACTGCTTGGTAACAGGCACCTCGACTTAGTAAAACTCTGGAGAAATGATATTAGAAAACAGATGTTGAAGTCTTCTGCAACACTGATTTTTTAAATCACCCAGGTAGGTATTGATTCTGTCTTCAATTAGCATATAGAAACCATTTTTAACCAAAGTCTTTCCACTCAACAAGTAAACGCAGATTTGTACTTTGCCGCGAATCTGACAACGCCTAGCAAGTAACTTTTCCTAAGCCTCGCTCCGAAAGAGCCTCCCAGACCGAGACCTGCAGGTACTGCTGTGACTAGGATGCAACAATCCAAATGGGTTAAGGGGCAGAACTCCACCAAGACCGAGAGTGAGCCCGGGGCCTCTAGAAACCCAACCCTCTCCCGCGTTCCCTCTCAAACACCACAAGCACGCACGCAAGGCACACGCCTGGCATGCCATCGCCGATCACAACCCAGACACCGCAATCCTCCCAGGACGCGCGCTGCTCTCCGCATCCACCCCAGGGTGTGCCCACTCCTCCGCCCTCCAGGGACCACTCTGCTTCCCTCTCTCCCCTTCTCCAGGGTGTCATCCCATCCCCCCACCCACCCCAAACCCACCCCCACCCCCTGCCCTAGTTTCCCGAGTCAGGGTCGGAGGAGCCCCACAATCTAGCGCTCAAACGCGCCACGTGTAGAGCGCGCGCCAGCAGCCAGACCACAGGCAGTGCTCAGTGTAGGGTGCCGGCGCCCCCAACCCTGCTACTCCTCCCGGGTGCCCCAGACCCTCCCCCACGCCCTGGAGCCGCCAGCTTGCCTGATTGGGGTCTGTGGCGCGGAAAACGTGGCAGGCCATCTGCGACTCCGGGTCGTCGGGCTGCGCCTTGATCAGGTAGGCAAAGTAGGTGAGGTCGTGGCTGTTGTGGATGAAGCGCGAGATGTTCTGTGCCTTGTGCTCAAAGATGAACACCGCTGTGCTGGGCTGCGCGGCTGCGGGGCCAGACCCCCCAGCCGTCCCGGTGCCGGGAGCCGGGACGCAGCGTAGAAAGGGCGCGCTGAGCACCAGGAGCACTTCGCGGGCCGCCGGGGCCCCGCAGCCGCCCGCCTCGGGCTTCTGGCTGCGCCGGCGGATCTCGGCCATGAGCCAGGGCAACATGGGCAGCGTGGTCCTGCGGTCCAGGCACGACCACCCCACGTACCACAACCGGAACCTCTTGTCGCCCGGCTTCCCAGGGCCCGACGCCGAGGGCCCGGGCTCCGGCTCCAAGGGGTGTGGGAAAGGCTCCTCCTGAATGCAGCTGGGGGGCTCCATAACTCGTGCCTCGCCGGGGCACCGAGACGGCGGAAGAGTCGCGCGGAGCCCCAAACTCTCGCGCCGCAGGCGCCGCCGAAACTATGCCAACTGCCCCACTGGGACCCCGGACCACTTCGGCGCGACCCCGAACTCCGGCTTCAGCGGCCCTGCCCCATGCGGCACTTTCCCGGGCTGGGCTCCGAGGCTTCGGCGGCGGGCACCTAGGGAGCGCCTGGCAGCTGGACTGGCAGGAGAGGGCGGGTTAAATCGTCATCCTCCTTCCTCCGCTCCCGCCTGAAGGCTGGACTTCCCCCTTCCCCCGCGGGGGTTCTGCTCCGCCAAAGGAAAACCACAGCAAGTCCCCTCGCCGCCACCGCTGCAGCGGGTGGCCGCTTGCTCCAGCGCCGCAGAGCCGCTGCGGCCGTGGCTCGCCCCGGCGGCACGGGGAGGCTGGGCGGGGAATGCTCTGTGGGCGGGAGGGGGTGTCTGGGGGCGGAGTTGACTCCTACCAGGGTGACCGGCTGTCACCTGGAAGGTCGGGGCCTCCGGACTTCCATGCAATCGGTCTTCCAAAAGGGCCTGCTATTCGAATGGAAAATAACAAAAACAAAACGTGGCTTTGTGGGGGCCGCTCCGCCTCTGGTCGCCACCACCGGCCAGCTCGCTGCTCCTCCTCCAACTGTTCCCGTCCCTCCCTCGCTCCTTCCTTCCTTCCAGGCAGCTTCTTTAATCGGGCTGCTACCCCGCCTCCCATCCTACGAAAGCATAACTGTGAAGTCCCCCTCCGCCTCCTCCGGCCCCTGTCCCAGCCCGCCCCTCTCGATCCGCCCCTGGGGCAGCAGTCCTGCGCCCAGCGCCTGCAGCCTGCATTCTGCGGACCAACTCGGCCTCTCTCTAGTCTCCAAGAACGCGGCCTCTTCTTGGCATCTCTGCCGCCCCCTGGAGAGGGGGCCACTCTCAGTGGGACGCTGGGGTTTATTTTATCATCATCATCATCATCATCCTCATCAATCATCATCATTATTATTATTTACATGGTTTCAATCCCGTCTAAAGGCTGTATAACAATTTCTGAATCTAATATCTTAATCTCAAAAATACTCTAGTTTTAAATAACAATATCACAATAAAATATTGTACTTCCAGTATCATGTTGGAGTATCACACATTGTATAGGAAATATGAATCTTCTTAGTTTAGTGCAGCCAACTTCTTAAAATATGGAAAAATCATATTCTGTTTTTTATATATATATTTCGTTCAGAACTAGTGTGGAGATTTCTCACCTTTAACATGTAGTAAAAAAAATTAGGGATAATTTGATCATTCTAATTTTAAAACAGAAAAAGAAGTACTCTTTATTCATTTTAGCAAATTAGACTCTTTTATTCTCTTTTTACTCTTACTGAATTGTAATTAAGAATTAGATAAGAAGTCTTGACCCGCATGGCTCAGTTGGTTGAACATCCCTCCCACAAAGTGAAAGAAAGGTCACAAGTTCAAATTCTGGTCTGGTCATGTGCCTGAGTTACAGGCTAGTCCCCAGTTGGGGGGCATGTGAGAGGCAGCATATCAATGTTTCATTAATGTTTCTCTCAGTAATCAATGCTTCTCTCCCTCCCTTCCTCTTTCCTTAAAAATAAATAAAAATTTTAATTTTAAAAAAGATTTTATTTATTTATTTTTAGAGAAAGAGAAGTGGAGAAACATCAGTGTGTGGTTGCCTCTCATGAGCCCCCTGCTGGGGACCTGGCCTGCAACCCAGGCATGTGCCCTGACTGGAATTGAACCAGCGACCCTTTGGTCCCCAGGCCTATGCTCAATCCATTGAGCCAGGGCTTATTTTTAATTTTTTTTTTAATTCCCAACTTTTTCCAAAGTGCTTATAGGAAAGATGAAAGCCCAGGTTTCTCATTGTTTTTAGTTTAATGGTAATATCATTTTCTATAAAAACCCAGTGAATATTTTTGTCATATATATGTGAGATTACTATGATAAACTGCCATTATTCCTATGCTGAATTTTTGCATGCAGCCTGATGGCTCTCTTGTAAATAAACATGTAAGCTTTGAGATGGAGACATTAACTGCTTAGTTTTAGTCTCTTGGTTTAACCACTCCACCATACTTTTGTGCACAATAGGCCTATGTCTTCAAAAAGCAGTGAAAGGTTCTTAGAATATAGAATGAAACCTTCTAGGGCCCTGCCAGAAACTCCCTCATGTAAATCTCTAGGCCACATATCTGAGATCTAAAAAGAGAAATAAGAACACAGAGATCTGAGGAAGCGTGAAAGCCTGGTGGGTCCTACCACATCAACCAGCTCCAGGAGCTAGCGCTGAACTGGGAGCCCCAGCAGGCCGTTTCCTCCTGGTAAAGAAAGTGAAGCAAAGAAACAGCTTCCACTTGCTGGCAGAAAAACAGAAGAAGTGTCTTTTATTACGGGACATCCTAAGTGTGATTGCTTCCTGCTCTGGAATGCCCTTAGCCCTTTCTTTGTAACTTTCTGTGATGTTTCTCTTACAGGGCATTAATGAATATTATCACTGTTTACCAATATCTGATCCTCTCTGCATCCTGACACGTGGGAAGTTCTTCTTTGCCCCCTAAAGTTAGGCACAGTTATAGGACTTGTTTTGACAGTGAAATGTGAGCAGAACTGACGTGGGTCACATCTTGAGTAGAAGCATTAAGTTGCCAGTAGTCAGCAATCTAGCCTGCTCTTGCTCTCCAGCCCCACTCTCCCCTTCCAGTGGTCGGCATGAAAATAACACGCACACGTGGAAGGTGCTCCTGATCAAAGCAGCCCAGCATGCGGAGTGAACACAAGAAGACAGTTGTTGTCCTGGAGAACCTCCCAGGCCCAGGGCACACTTCTTATGCGTGAGAAATAAACTTTTTTTCTCTCTCTGAGATTGTGCAGTTGTCTACTACCTTGTTGTTATCCATTCTGTCTTATTGAATAAAATTATTATGCTATGGTATACAATACCTTGTGTCTTTTGTAACTTGTTTTATTATCATTTGTACATTTGACTAATTACATCCATGAACAAGAGGGTAAGCTATCAGTTTCTTACCACCAGCTTGCATCTGCAGAATCTTAGAGAATTGCATGCACATAAAAAGTGCTCAATTATACATTTGATCACTTGAACTTAGAAAAAGATAAGAGAACAGGATACAATTTTCAAATGTTTGGTAGATATTGCACACAATATCTATGGTCTATGCTGGTCTATGGTCTATGGTCTAGCAGGTCTATGTTGACTATGACAGGGCCATAAATCAACCTCCAGCTCCAAACTCTTCTGCACTCAGCCCCACGCGTCCCCCCAAAAGGGCCGAGAACATGCTCATGGGAAGAATTTCCAACAATCTGCCGAGACATGTCCTGAAGAGTCTTATAAGCACCTCTATCTATGATATCCAAAAGTAAACACATTTTTTAAAAATTTTCCTCTAATATCCCAATCTAAGTTAATGGTGTGAGCTTGAGTTAGAAGTTACATCTAGTCAGATTCTAGTTTAAAAAATTTGTACTACATGATAAATATAAGCACCTGAATAAGTGTGATCGTTTAAGACTACAAAGGTTCATTGAAATCTCTAAACTTGTTTCTTTGCTTCTAGGCACAAGTGTGTTCATTCTCTCTCTCTCTCTCTCTCTCTCTCTCTCTCTCCCCCCCACCTTCTCCCCACTCCCTCCCTCCTTCCAGCTCTAAAATTAATAAACATATCCTTGGATGAGGACTTTAAAAAATTCCCTAGATGAAGATATATTTTCGAAAGCTCAAAGCACAGATCTCTCTAGTCGTATATTTGCTGCTTCGCTCTCCCCTCCTCCCTCATCCAGACAACCTCTCCATTCCCAATTGTCTTCTCATCTTTATGGAGCTTCAGGCTTTTTCTTATCCCTGATTGCTTGCTACTTCCCCACAACCTGCATTTCCCCCAACCGTCACTACTTGAATTCATTGTTCAAGACCCAACTTCAAAGGCTTCTCTTTGGTGAAGATATTTCTTACTTCCTCAGTCAAAGTTAGTGGTCCTCTCTCCTACACTCTCTTTAAATAAATTTATTCCACTATTACAGGTCTTACTCCATTTTTTAATTAATTATGGAGTCCTTTATCAGTGCTACCCACCACAAAGAGAGCATTTTCAGAGAAGGGATGATTGTTTTGTCTCATATCCCCTCCAGCAGAAAGAACAGTAGCTGACACTTAATACGTTCTTAGTGAATATTGAGTGAATGACTGGAGTGAATAAATGGCAAATCAGCCCTGGCCTGGTTGGTTATAGCGTCCTCCCCATACACCCACGATGGGGGTTCCCTCTCTGGTCGGGGCTCATACTTAGGCTGTGGGCTTGCTCTCACATTGATGTCTCTCTCTCTGTCTCTCTCTCAAAAATCAATTGATTACAAAAATGAATAAATAGCAAATTAGAACTTAAGACATTAAACATTAAAAGGGCAGTTTTCATACCACAGAGGTGATGTAACCATATGATTTAATTAGCTGATCTGAGGAAAACATACTGAACATATTCACCAGGGAACTATAAAATAGTAGAAAGTAACAGAATGCTTCATTTCAGGGTTTCCCCCTGTTGTTGCCCATTGCCTGTGACCTTCCCCAGCCCAGGCAGCCAGGGACACTCACTGCGCCTTCACTGCTTCAGGGAAAGGATGACACAGCAGAACACAGATAACAAAAGAGTCCATTCTTAGCTTTTAGGTTTCACAGTCTAAGAACAAGGACCTGGCCAAGGCAAAAGATTTACAATTCATGCTTTGAGTCTGCTGCTCTGACTTTAGATACTAAGAAACCTTCCCCAACTTGAAAAATGGTGACAAAGAACGAGGGAATAAATAAGAGGTAGCTACTAGGAAACCAAATAGACAATGTATGACTTTCAAACCAAGAGAATATATACACATATTTTAATCCTCCACCAAGGACATGCTTAGAGAGTGGAAGGGAAGGAGAGACAGAAACATGAATCGGTTCCCTGGTGGGGGATTGAAATCACAACCTAGGCCTGACCTGGACTTGAACCAGCGACCTTTCAGTCTGCAAGATGACACACCAACCAACTGAGCCACACCAACCAGGGCTCAAACCAATAGAATATCGATCTATCCTGTGGAAAGAAAAAGGAATAAAAAGAAAAAAGAAAGAAAAGAAGACAAACATAAAGTGTGAGACTTAGAAAATATAAAATAGTATTGCTAAAATAACTCCACATATTAACTATAATAACTGTAAACTAGTTACTGTAACCAATCAAAAGATAAAGACTTAAAGACCCTGGAATGTGTTGTTTCCAGAGTCATTATTAGAACAAAAGGATATAGAAATATTGAAAATAAATAGAGGAAAATATATCAGGCATACATGAATAAAAAGAAAGCCAGGGCTGTGCTTTGAAAATCAGATTAAATAGAATTTAAGGCTAGTGAAGAGATCGCAAAGAAACACATTCTGGTAAAAGTATTAAGAAGACATTGTAGACACATCTACACCAACTAAACTGCTCCCCAATACATAGAGCAGCAACTGAAAGAATGACAGAAACTGTAAACACATCAATGCTTATAGTTGGAGACTTTAACACATCATTCTCGAATACTAGAAATTAAATATATTTTAGATTAAATAAAATAAATATAATCATATTTATAAACTTCAGTAACATGATCTGTAAGTTCAAGTATGCAAATATATATCCAATGAATAACT